TTGAGCCAACTGGAGGATTAGATCTAAAAATACCCACACCAGCAAAACAAGATTCTAGGATAGGTGTCTTTAACATACCAGATGGTCTTGGGGAAGATCATGTTTACATGTTCTAAATCCCATAAGTGTTGCATAAAGAGAAGGAGTTAAAAGAAGAACTCAGAGAAATGAAAGATTAATTAAAGGCTCTTCAAAGATCAAGTGCATGGGGTTCCTCAGACTTGAAGAAATTATGTTTAACCCTAAAAATTGATGTTCCTAAGAAATTCAAGATGCCAAGCTTTGATAAGTATGATGGTACAAGTAACCTAATTTATCATTTGAAGGCTTATTGCATAAAGATGTCCATATGGTCACAAGATGATAAGTTTTTGATAAACTTCTTTCTCGAAAGCTTAACTGGAGCTGCATTAACTTGGTACATACAACTAGACCAAACAAAGATTAGAAGATGGAAAGACCTTGTGGATGTTTTCATGAGACAATATAAGTTCAATCTTGATACTGCTCTAACTAGAGAATAATTGAAAATGATAATCAAGAAATCATCAGAATCATTCAAAGAATATGCTCAAAGATGGAGAATAGTGGCTTCACAAGTGCAACCTCTGATGGTGAACTCTGAACTTTTCTCATACTTCATTCGTGCATTACCTAAGTTGTTTTACCAACACATGATAGGAACACATGTCACTGATTTTGTTAATTTAATGGTAATTAGAGAAAGGATTAACACAGACATACTAGAGGGGAAAATAGCCACTTCTCAAGCTGAAAGTAGTTTATGAAAGAACTATGACCAAAAAAAGAAAGAAGGGAATGTGAACTGTATTCAACCTGTAAGACAAGCTACTATCAATCTCTAAGTTTCTTATCAAATAGAAGGAAGGAATCAAAGACAGCCACAATTCAGGTTCAGGCCTAACAAGCACGGGTAGGATGGAGAGAGGAGAAATATCCAATCTAGGGTTAATCACCCCTGGCCTAATTTTAGATTGACAAATGCTAAATTGAACCATAAACTTATGGTAGCCCAATTATTAAGTCCACGACCTTATAAGCTTCTTAGTCCACCTTACCTAATGTGGTATAATCCAAATGCTATTTACGAATACCGCATAAGTGCACCTAGACACTCAATAGAAGATTGTGTGACATTCAAAAGGAATGTACTAGACCTAGTTGATTCTAATCATATCTATCTTAAAGAAGAGGGAAGCTCTACCATTACCACCGATCTGCTTCCAAACCATGAAAAGCGGATCAACATTATCGAAGAAGAGGATACATTTTTTAGAAGCCCTACAAGGATCAAGATGCCTATAAATGAGCTTTATGCTCATTTAAAGGAATATGGCTATATGCAAAAAATCTTACAGATAATGTCAATGATTAAAGGCCTGATATTATGAGTATCACCAAGAGATAATAGGCCATGACATAGAAAGTTACAAATAGTTCAAAGAAACCGTTAGAAAAATGATAGTGCTAGGGATTGTGTCTATAAAGAAAGGAGATACCAAGGTGTGTATGGTGAAGAAAAGGTGTATTGAACTTGTTATTAAAAATCCAATCCTAAAAGAGCAAGTCCAAGTAGTCTCTTTTGTGATTAATAAAGCCTCTGTAGATCTTACATCTTACGCAAGACAACCAATGTTGACTATAAGCACGCCTCATCCCTTTCCCGATGAAAGTGATTGAGCGGTCCCATGGAGATCGAGCGGTCCTATGGAGATATCAAAGTATTGTGGAGAACCACAAAAACTCAATGTTAATTGCTAAAACAAGCAATGAAATAACAAACTCAGAAGGTCTTACTTGAAGTGGAAAGGTATATTTACCATCTTACATTAAAAAGATGGTATGAGAGAAAAATGTGAGTATTGACAGGAAAAAGGAAGATAATCCTAAAGAAATAGAAAAATTTGAAGATGAGTTTCTATCAATTATGAAGTAAAGTGACTATAGCATTGTGGATCAATTGAAAAAAACTCCAGCACATATATCAGTACTTTCTTTGATTTTGAATTCCGAAGGACATCACAAAGCATTGCAAGAATTTTTGAATCAAGCCTTCGTGCAACCTAATATAACCCCTGAAAAGGTAGCAAATGTAATAAATGTTGTAAAAGCCTCTACTACCATTTCCTTTTTAGAAGAGGAAGTTATAGAAACTGTTGTCCACCAAACCAAAGCTTTGCATATCACTTTGAAATATGAAGGGTTCATAATAGCAAGAGTATTGATTGATGGAAGATTAGCATTAAATGTGTTGCCGCTCTCCATATTTAAATCATTATCACTAAAAGCTTCAAGTGTACACAAAAGCAATATTATGGTGAGAGGATTCGATGGATCAAAATAAGAAGTATTAGGATATGTTTATCTCTCTCTGAAGATAGGACCAAGCATGTTCAAGGTGGATTTCTAACTTATGAATATAGACCCAAGCTACACAATGCTGTTAGGAAGGCCACGGATTCATTCTACTAGGGTTGTTCCTTCTACCCTACACCAAAAAGTTAAGTTCATCAATAAGAGGGGAATTGTAGCCGTTAAAAGAGAGGAGGAAATCATGGTGAGCAAACCAAGCTCACTCCCTTATATTGAGGCTACAGAAAAGGATTATGGAATTTTATTTCAAAGCCTAGAAGTTGAGGGTATTTGTGACAATACTCATAACATCAATTTCATTATTGCTAAAATCATGACGAAGAGTAGGTTTATACTAGGAAAACGTTTAGGCCCTCATTTGCAAGGAATTACGTGTCTAATTAAAGTTTTGGATAATTGTAATCGCCAAGGGTTAAAGTATGAGCCTACCTTAGAAGATCAGATGAAGGAAAAAGCAAGTTTGGCAAAAGGCAAAAAGGCTAGTAAATTGGAGATTCCACACATCAAAGAAACCTTCCCAGGTCCGTCCGAGGTGATATGTGAACCAATTGTCTCAATGATATCTTTCAATAAAGATGTAGCATGTAGAACAAGTGCCTCAATTGCAATCGATGATTCCAGTAAAGTCTTGGTGAATTGGGAGTTTGAAGAGGCCAATGATGTCATTAGCTTAGAGTAATTGTTTCAATTATATTGTTCCTATTTTGTTATCCATTTTTTGAGCCCAGGTTTAGGTAATAGATCTTGGGTATTCTCTAATGTAAACTTTTAATGCAGGTAATTTATGAAAATGAATTTCAATCGCATTCATGTCTATCTCCTTATTCCACCCTATCTACTTTAGTACTTTTTTCTTCCCTTTTACTTTTCTTTTCCTTACTTTTATTTCATTTCATATTCATTTCTATGATCCAGGGATTTTGTTTCTTCTGATTCCGTCTCTCATCTAGAGGCTAATGAACCTTTCAAAGGCTATTCGCCCATTGCTACTAATATGCATGATTGTGAGTCTGATGATGAAGATGTGATCCAAACTTTTTCTAAGATGCTTAAATTAAGTGATAAGGGAATATGCCCATATGAAGAAGTGATTAAGATTATTAACATGGGAACCAAGGAGGATCAAAAAATGCTCAAAATAGTAGATAATCCTGAAGGGAACAAATGATTGAGTTGTTTAAAGAATACCTAGATGTGTTTACAAGGTCCTATTGCTTCTCATAAAATACCATTGCCTCTTAAGGTTGAGCCTAAGAAACACAAGTTAAGTAGAATGAATATGGTTGTGTCCTTACAAATAAAAAAGGTAGTGAAGCAGTTAAAAGCTGGATTCTTGGAGGTAGTAACCTACCCATAATAGGTGGCAAATATTGTTCTCGTTCCTAAAAAAGATGGTCAGATTTGAATGTGTGTTGATTATCATAATTTAAACAATACGAGCCCGAAAGATGATTTTTCACTGCCCTACATTGATGTATGGATTGAAAATACTTCTCCAAGCTACCGTTATTCCTTTATGGATGGTTATTCAAGGTACAATCAAATCCCTATGCATGAGGGAGATAAAGAGAAAACAACCTTTACAACCCAATAGGGAACTTATTTTAGGTGATGGTTTTTGGTTTGAAAAATGCTGGGGCAACTTACCAATGAGATATGGTAGCACTATTTCATGGCATGATGTATAAAGAAATTGAAGTATATGTAAATGATATGGTAGCTAAATTAGCAGAGAATGAGAGTCATGTTGAAGTCCTTAGAAAGCTATTTGTGAGATTGCACGAATACCGGCTAAGATTGAATCCTAATAAATACATCTTTAGAGCTCTTTCTGAGAAGTTATTGGGTTCATTGTAAGTCATAAAGGGATAGCAATAGATCTAGATAAAGTGAGATCAATTCAAGAAATGCCACCTCCCTAAACAGAGAAAGAAGTTAAAAGTTTCTTGGGATGATTGAATTACATTGCTAGATTCATTGCCAATCTAACAATTACTTGTGAATTAATGTTTAAGCTTTTAAAGAAAAATTGCAAGGAGACATGGGATGATAATTTTCAAAAGGCCTTTGATAAAATTAAAGATTATTTGTTAAATCCCCTTATTTTGGTTTCTCCATCTCCAGAACGTCCATTAATCCTCTACTTGGCAACTTTATCTCGCTCAATGGGAGCAATGCCAAGTCAACACGATGATTCTGGAAAGAAAGAAAGAGCAATTTATTTCTTGACCAAGAAGTTTAATGATTGTGAAGCTTATTATCCAATGATTGAGCAAACTTGTTGTAAACTAGTATGTGCAACTAGAAGGCTAAGGAAATACATGCTTTACTACTCTACCTGGCTAATCTCATGAGTGGACCCACTCAAGTACATCTTTGAAAGTTCGCACATTGCAGGTAGAGTACTGAAATGGCAAGTTGTACTATCTAAATATGATATAAAGCATGTGATGCAAAAGTTAATTAAGGGTAGTATGATAGTGGATCACTTGGCTGATAATCCTTTAAAGGATGACCAACCATTAGATTTTCAATTTTCTGATGAAGGCATATGCACTGCAGAAGAAGGTTGTGATAAAGGAAACAATAAAGAGTAAGAATGGGAAATGTATTTTGATGGAGCTGCCAACATGTATGGAAATAGGGTAGGAGCAGTGATTATTTCACCAAAAGGGAAAAAATTTCTAGTGGCCATTAAATTAGAATTTGATTACACTAACAACATAGCAGAATATGAAGCTTGTGTTAATGGTCTTTGAGCAACTATTATCCTGAGCATACGATGTTTGAAGGTATTTAGTGATGCAACTCTTATTATTCATCAAGTAACAAGAGAATGGAGAACAAAGGATGCCAAATTGATTCCTTATGAAGAACTCTTAACAAATTTGATTAAGCAATTTGAAGTTGTTAGCTTTCATCACTTGACACGAGATAAAAATCATTTTGCTGATGCTTTAACCACTTTAGCAGCAATGATTCAACTTAATTATGGAGTCCATGTTCAACCCATTCAAGTAGAAAGTAAAAGCTTTCTAGCATACTGTCTAAATGTTAAAGAAGATCAAGCAGAACATCCTTGGTTTCAGGATATTAAGGACTATATCACTAAGAGGTCATACCCAACTGGAATGACTGAGAATGAAAAGAAAACCCTTTGTCATTTGGCTATGACATTCTTTATCAGTAAAGATGTTCTGTACAAGAGGGTTATGATGGTACCTTACTTCGCTGGATGAGTTTAGAAGAAGTAAAGAAAATCATGGTTGAGGTACATGAAGGCATATGCGGTACACATGTGAATAGTCACTATAACATCCTAAAACTTCAAATCTGGAAAAATGGATTAATTAAGGGATAAATTAGTTAAAATATAATTAATTTATTTAATTATGTTTTTGGATGGCTAATTAGATTTTTGGGTCATATTTGGCTCTAAATTGAGATAGGATGAAAGTCGAATCAAGTCAGGAGGCATCGGGGGGAGTAAAATCAAGTTGTTGCTCAGTGCGTCATGAGCCGTGGCTTGTGTGGCATGTGCTGTGGCACACGGCACAATAGGCAACTTAAATTTTGGGGAATCATAAAAAATTGACAGATTTTGGGGTGAAAAACCTAAAGCATGAAAGGGGCAACTTTGGGTACTGCTAGGGCATTAATTTAGAAGGATTTTAAAGATCATTTGAGTTTCCAAACTCTTGGGTAAGTTTCCTACCCTTCTCCTCTACCTTTTCATCTCATTTTCTATGGGATTTGGAAGAGTGAGAATTTGGTCTGATTAGATTAAGCCATGAGTCAATGTTTGAAGGTTTCTATTGACTCTAAAGGTTTAATTTAGGTTTATTGATCTTGGATATATGGTAAGAGGAAGCTACTTTCTTGTTTAGTGGAAGTTGGTTTAAGCCCTCACTTGATCATAGGGTGTTGAAGTGTGATAAGTTGAGATATTGAGTTTTTTTGTTGTGATAGAGTTAGAAAGAGACTTAAAGGGATGATGTGAACAAATTCTAATCTTAACAAGTCTATTTGTTGAGAATTTGAGTGAGAAGTGGGAGAATTGGGAGGTTATTATTAGCTAATGGTACTTATGTTAATTGAATTAACATATAGTATTTGTTGATGTAGATTATGATATGGGAAGACTTACCTTGACACAAAAAGAGAATTAGTACCATGGGTAACCCTTTTAGTAACAAAAAGGTTAAGGTAACTAGATAATTTACATTATTTATTACCTTGTATAAGTTATTCTCAAGTTGCTTTTCTATGAGTTGTTGAGTATATATGCATAAATTCTTTAAAGGTTAACTATTTTAGAAAAAGTAGAGTATTGGTTTGTAAAATTTTATATTTTTAAGTAAATGAAAAGATTTTGTTATACTTATTTGAAAAGTTGTTTATGCATGGTCAAGGATATGTAGTGAAATGTGGCATATTAGAGGGTAGGAGGTCACCCTAGTGGAGATAGTGAAGAATAAGTCCATATGGCATTGCTAGCACCTCGAGATGCCAGGTGCAGCATTTACTCTCCTTAGTGTCCGAAAATAGGTGCGGTGTTGGAGACTTATTCTCCTTAGTACCCAAATAGGTGTGGAGTTTGAGACTATGCTCCTTAGCATCCGTAGGATGCGGTGTTGGAGTAACGACACCCCAGTTACTTGTAATAAGGGGAAAACAATAGTCCATAAGTGGTTTAGGACACCTTGGCTGGGTAGACCTACCATGGATGGTGAGCTTGGGGACCATATATGGTTTGGTTTTGTGAAATAGCCTACTGGTTCGTTCAGGAGTATTGGAGGACCGAATGGTTAGGGATCATACATGCAAATTTATGGTGATATTACATGATGTGATTATGTTACTTATTTTAATGCTTGTTTATAACTTGGCTTGTTAATCATAATGTAGATTATCTTAGTTACTGAGATTTTTATCTCACCCCGTGGATTATCATTTTACAGGTGATACTAGTAAGACTAAGCCAGGGAGAGAATCGGGCAGGGGCTAGCATATCTGCTATACTCTTTGTAAAGCCTGATTTTGGTTTAAGTGGTGTACATAAACTTGTTATATGATATTATATGTTGCCAACTAGGAATGCATATCATTTTGATTGGTTGTACTTGTTTCATACTATATTGTTTTGTATTTTAGCCCAATATGACATGTGATATGAATATGTGAGAATTTTTGTGGTGATGGGCTAAAATACTAATACAAGTACAAGGAATATTTTATCTAAGTGGTGATAATGTATTGGTAGTATATGATGTGGCAATAGAAGCCAAATAGTGCTTGTAGTGCTAATTGTGCATTTTGGCCATATTGGGCAAAATGGCCATTGAGTGGCCAAATTTTATATTCGTATGTTTTTGTGTGTTTGATTGGTCACTCAAGTGTATTTTAGTCCATTGGACTTGGTTCAAGCCTCACAATGGGTTAATGGTATTAGTTATGAGTTTTGGGTGCTTGGATGGTTGAAATTTTTTTTGAAAAACTAACTTTTCATCTGAGTGTTTAGAATTCTCATAAGTGTCGGATCGTAATGAAATTGTACCATTAGTTAGCTTATTGAATAAACTTTGTGTGGGCGCTTTAATCACTCCAATCGAACATCAGATGTGAAAATGGCGCGCGTTCAAAGTTCATCCAGAAAAGCTATCATGGTAGCATTGCTTTCATGGAAACATGCGCTGCGGTGCATTTCACGCAAGCCGTGGTACACGGCACAGTGAGGAAACATGGCATTCTGTGCCACATGTCATGGCACATGGACCACGAGCCGCGGTGCATGGACCAAAATACCCAAAAATGACATTTTTGGCCTTGTTTTGAAGTGGTTTGTTTCCCAAATTTTTACATGCTTCCAAAGCCTATATAAAACATTAAGTTTGAGCTCAAACTATCAATTTAAAGGGTTTTTATGGGATCTCAATTATTCCACAATTATTTTTAAAAGATTATTAATTTAAATCCTTATATGGATAATGTGATCTTGGGAGCAATTCTTGCTCCTAATTATGATTGTTTTGTTGTGATTGTGTGGTGATTTTGGTAATGTCAAAGTGGACATTACAGTCACACTATGGACAAATAGATTTAAAGATGTGGCTACTTTTAGTTAACAATAGAGAAAGATTGCTTTGAGCATATCAAGAAATGCCACAGACGTCAGATCTATGCTAACAGGATAAATGCTCTCCAATTCCATTGCATAATTTGGTATCACCTTGGGCATCTCAATGTGGGGAATTGACATTATTGGTCTAATTAATCTAAAAGCTTCAAATGGACATTACTTCATCCTTGTCGTGATTGACTATTTCATTAAATGGGTAGAGGCAAATTCATTTTCTAGTATCACGCAAAAAGTGTTCCTTAAATTCATGAAGACAAACATTTTGTGTCAATATGGGATTCTTAAAAGGATCATTACAAATAACGGTCCCCAATCTCAATGGAATGGAAGAGATGCATGAACATGACAAATGGTAGACGACAAAGATGAAGGCACAACGAAAAGGAAGGAAAAAACAAAAGACAGAGATGGCGATCTAAGGCTGAAAAGTGGAAATCAGTGAGCGATTGCTCTTCCCTTCCTACTCCTTATATAAAGTCTGTAATTGAGAGTTTGAGGGGAATCTGAAAAATTTTTCAAGGAAAAGAACCGAGAAAAAGAAAAGATTTTCTGGAGAAAAGTCATGGAGATTTTTGGAGAGATTAGATTTTCCAAAAAAGAACTCTGTATTTTGGGAGGAGAAGAGAAAATTTTGAAAAGAGAGGGAAGAGATTGAGCGATGAGGATTGTCTGAAAAAAAAAAGTAAGCTTAGATTAAAAGAAAAAAAAAATTCTGGAAAGAGGGTAGAGCGAAATCTAGCAATATTTCAAAGAACATGAAAGAGAGAGGAAAGGAGTCAGATGAACAAGATAGAGGGAGAGTTAAGTTTCAATTGAGTAATGATTTTTATAGTTGCGTTCTTCTATGCTTATATGATCAGAATCTTTGAACTATCTGAAATCCGTTTATACATGAGAATGAGGTGAACAAATTTATCTTTTTTTTGTTTGGTGATTTTAAAATTTCATATCTACCTTACAATGTTGAAAAGAGACAATATGATATGTAATGCTCGCTTTCCTTTCTAGATCAGTATGCTTAGTAGATGTTTGATCAAATGTTTGAATGTGGAATATTGTGTTGAAAGGAGTTTCTAGCATATGGATTTTTATTGTTGCTGGTTTTTTAATCTCTTTGTGAGGATCTTGTATTAACGGTTAATTTCATCCTCTTGGGTCTCTCAATAAGAGATATAATGGGCTAAAGGCGCACTGCTTATGATTCCAAACGAATTACTTCACATCAAAAATCATCTGTACTCCTCCTCCTTTATTTCGGTTGCTAAATTCAAGATTGAATGGGTTATATTTTACTGCCGGTAAGCCTCCCTCAAGGTTTTATGGGGTTAGCACAGTGATAATGGAAGTTTTAAAAGTTTTGAATCTTGAAAAAATTGTTTTTGTGGGCGTGATATGAAGTGATGTGTTTTCCTCCAATTTAAGCATGTTTAAATTTACTATTGCATCATAAAATTTGCCACTCTTGTATTAAGCTTTTTAGTGATATAATGTAGTTATGACCAAACACATATGCTCCCTTCTGTAATTATAGGAACCATTTTTTTAATTTATTTAAATATTTTTAAAAAAAGTTTTTATCCAGAGTGTGTTTTCCATGGCGGAGAATTTTTTTTTGAAATAAGAAAAGAAAATAATAAAGGATATAGTTCTCTATTACTGAGACTGTGTTGTCTTACCCCTTTCTTTACAATATTTATAGGTCCAAGCGAAGGATCCAATGGTGGATAGGGAAAGGAGCAAAGTTAGGGTTTGCTTGTGATTTGAAAAGAATTGCAACCCCTTTCTTTTAAGCAAGTATAGTGTAATATATTTAGGATTAGGGTGCCAGTAGAATGTGACTATATAAATATGTGAATATGTGTGGATTGTGTGCTTGTGTATGAATTTTTTTTCGCTTATAAACTTGTGTTTAGGAAACTTGGTTATGGTGTGTGGTTTTGATGGATTCATTTGATAGACCAAGTTGTATATATATGAATATGTGTGATTCTACATGCAATTGCAAAGTAGTTGCATTGCAAATTATATGCTAAAGGCAAACATGCACCTTGGATAGAGAGAGTGGGTGTGTGGGCCCTATGGGGAGCTCTGAGTCAAGTA